CGGGCGGCTGAGGGGTCCTGGGCGTGAGGGGCGGGTGGCTCTTGGTGAGAGGGTCCCTGTGGGGAGGGGTTTAGTGCGAGGGTCTCTGTGGGGAGAGGGCGTTGCTCTGGTGGGCTCTTGTGAGGAGGGGGCAGCCGGCTGTGAGGGGTTGTGTGAGGAGGAGCCCTTGGTGTGAGGGGCTCTTGGGGAGGGGGTCAGTGGTGTGAGGGGAGGGTAACCAGGTGTGAGGGGTTGTGTGAGGAGGGGTTTTGGTGTGAGAGGCGGTTTTAGGGAACAGGTGAGGGGTTGCTGAGGGGGTAGGAGAACAGGAGAGAGCTGGCGTGTGGGGGTGCTGAGGGGAGTTTGGGAAAGAGGGTTTGTGGAAGCTCCATGTGGGGACACTGAAGGGTGAGAGGGGCCTGAGGGAGGGGATGGCTGCTGAGGCCATTTGAGCTCAGACAGCATTTTGAGGGGCAGCAGGCCTGAGGGAGAATGAGGAAAAAGGTGGTGAAAGGGGCAGAGAGATGAGGGGCTCAGCAAGGGGCTACATGGGGCCTGGTCATGGATAGGGAGAAGAGGTGTAGGGGAGAGGCCTGGCATGGGTGGGAACTTTTTGGGGGCAGTGTGGCAGAGGACAGTGGGTTTGGGGCAGGCTGGCTGTGGTGAGGACATGGAGCCAAGTAGAGCTGCCTCTCTGGCCAGGAGCAGCTCATCTATAGGCAGTGACAACCCCAGGAGGTGGTAGGTGACTGCTCTAGTGCAGCAGCCCTCACCAAATGGGTGCATTTCAGCCTGCCCTTGGCCAAGCTGTATCTGGGATGTGGCCAGAAGAGGGGAAAAAAAAAAATCTTATGGGTTGAGCACATGGCCTCCTAAACTGTACTCTTGGCTCTCAGTGGTGGGTGTTGAACTTGGTAGGTTGTTGAGCCTTTGTGTGCTTTGGTATCTCCATCTACGAAGCAGAGATAACAGTTGGCTTCATGCAGGGATTAATTATCACATCTTGTAGTCACGTATTTGTTTATTTGTTTTTACTATAGATTACAGCTGGAGGAATTCTAAACAGTCCACTTCTCCTTGTCATGGTGTTTGAGCGCATTGTGCTCCTGTCTGAACAGAGGAAATCACTGAGGTCAGTCTCCCTTGTGTTTATCGTTGCTTTCCCTTTCAGAAGTATGGGGGCAAGGAATTACCAAAATAACAATTTGTACTGACATCCTGATAATAAATTAATAGAAACAGTTACATAAGACACAAAGTTTGTCAAAGGTGTGTTTGTAGGGATGGCTTCCATTTTTGACTTCAGAATTACACTGCAGGCGTACTGCGCTCTATTATAAAGTACCCTGCAAATACTCAGTTTTGAGATGTCCCCAGTATGAAATAATACAACTCTGTAAATCCAGTGTTACTGCTACTGCTGAAATAAAACGGATGAAACAAACTTCCTTCCTATTTTCCACATAATCTGACAGAAAGCTTTGTATCCAGCAGGTGTTGAGGTGATCCTGGATACGGTTTAGGTGAATTTTACTTTTACCTTTAGATAATCTGGGATGGGGAGACACCTGAGGAATGTTATTGGCTGTAACAATTGTGGACCACATCTAGAGTTTTGTGAACTTGTCCCAGAGTGGTCTGATACTTTGCCTTTTCAAATCCCTATAGGAAAAGGGAGACAAACGTGGATCACTTCAAACATATGTTGTTGTGGGTATTGGGAGAGGCAAACTAAAGGTTTATCTGATGATCTCAACCTTGAAGTTGGCAGCTTTGACAGGAAACTTGGTTTCATTCATCTGCCAAAGATATTTGTAGTGTATCATTTGACAAGTTAAAAGGCATTTTTGTAATGACACAAAAATAAAACCATCCGCTTTCTGAAACTACAGTTTCTGTCTTCTGAAATAATATGGGAGGCACGCTTCTGGGGAAATTAAGGGCATGTTTGAAAGGTAAACATTTGTGTTTTCAAATGTTGGAAGAATGGTGTTTAATGTGAATCTGCTCAGCGTGGCCTATTGATATTAATTTGGTTTTGTACTTGTTTTGTGGAATTAGTGGGTATCATTTGCTTTTGGAGATGGGAGAACAAAGTGGAGCAGTAAGAGAGAGTGATCCGCCCACGGGGTCAAAAGGTGGAATTAAGAATCAGGTTCTTCTGAATCTTGATCTTGTACTTCTTCCTGCAGACAAATTGCCTGTAAAGCTCATGAATTATGAGGGCTAGTGAGGTCCATGGAGCTAACCCAGCAAATGCCAGCAGAGAGTCTGGGCCACAGCTCTTAGTGTTACACACGTGAAAGATAATGAGAGGTCTAGGTAAAAATCCTTAGAGTCTCTTAACAGTGGCTGTGGAAAAATGTGAATAATGCTTTGTCTTTAACTATCAAGTATTTTGCTTGAAATGCTAGATCTGCATTTGATATGTATTCAATGACTGCTTCAAAAATATACAGTGTAGTCTGTGAACAGACTGTTTGGGAAGAGTTCACTGAAATTCTGAATGAACAGCCAGTGTGAAAATTATGTTTATTGTTGCCAGCTGAACTAAACAGCACATTTAGCTTTCCTAGTCCATTGCATTAGGCATGTTCTTGCTGCCTTCTCAAAAGACCATAGTAAGCGTCTAGAAAGTTAGTTCAGCTTCATTTGCTAATTTCCTGATGCAAATTTAGTCCACTTAAGAAAAGAACTAAACAGGTTTATATATGTCTGCATCTGGGATTTGCACCAGTCTATCTGTCAGATAGCTATACCCAAAGTTAATTCTGTCTGAAGGAGGTGCCAGAACATCAATAAATAAATATTACAAATTGCCTAGCGGTTCAGCTGACAGGCAGAACTGGTTTCAACATATTGCTCCCAATGTGCTGCTGCAGAGCTGGCCCTGGAGTAGACCCATATGACATTCCAACATGGACAGGACCTTTAAGAGTGTGCACCAGCTCTCCATGGTATTGTAGGAGAGGAAGTACAGAACAATACTAAGTCCCACGGAAGCTGTGGCAAGAATTTATTCAAGGCACATTGTAATTACTCAGGCAGGGAGTTTGGCCAGGACATTGGGGTTAACACCCCTGCTCCTGTAGAGGTGTCATAGTTTATTTTTTTTAATGACTTGAAGTGATGAGAAGCTTGGCTTTCTGTCTCAGCAGAATGACACCAGTTCAAGCAGTGTAAACTTCTTACAGCAATATGAAGGTGCTGGTTCAGAACTAACTCAGAGCAGTGATTGGGCCTAGTACAGTAATCATTGCTTTATAAATACTTGCAGTAGATAAGAAAGATAAGAGTGTGATTAGGGCACAGTTTCAGGTGCTGTAATTACAGCCATGCCTTCCTCAGCCTTCAGTTCAAATGTTGCTTGAATCTGGCTGTTTTTAAGCAAACAGTTGTAAGTTTTAGAAGAAATCATCAAACTTGAAGCAGAGAAATTTGGTTATTAATTATATAGCAGCTATGAACAGCAGTTATCAGTGCTTTTTCTTAGAAACTTATACAAGTAGAAAGAATTAAACTGGATAAATTACATTCATGCCTCTGAGATTTTTAGAAAGTGTTCTTTGTATGTATGATGTACTAATTTAGGAACTAACTTTCAGCCTGTTTTCTGCTTGCAGAGAAGATAAGCACTTGTGTGTTTTAGTGAGTGACTAGTTGTGCAATGCACAAGTGAGGAATTGTTTTGATTTTACTGGCACATGAAACCTGCCATCATTCCTATAGTACAGTTTGGGCCATTATTATTGGTTATGAGGTTATACAGGAAAAACATGTTCTAGAGAAAGGCTGGTCAAAATAAACAAGGTAGAGTCTTCCAGATTACAACAATCTGGTTTTGTATCAGTGATGTAAATGCTTGGGTACATCCACTGGGATGAAGGTACCATGTCAGGCAGTGTCCCTCTGACAGTTCATGTTGTAAGGACAAAAATGAAGCAATACTGACATTATTACGTAACTGCTTTTGTATTCTATGACAACAATTATAATACTTCACTCTTCTCTTACCTTCTATTAGATGCTCCTTGATGTGCACTTATGATTGTTCCATGAGTTGAGTGGTTTTAGCTATTAGGAAATGGGGAAATGGTGGCACAAGAAGAAGTATTTGCCAAGGTCATATGGGAAGTAAATGTCAGAGGCATAAACAGAATCTCAGCCTTCTGACTCTGCCCTCTGGGAAACCAGACAAAAGTGGAAAAGTGGCTTGCAGTGTGACTCAAGAGCTTTTCCTTCCCCAACCACTGCCATGCTGGGCAATTACAAATAAATGCCAGTAGGTCATTTCCACCTGAGTCAAACAGGTTTGCAAGGGACTCTAGGTATCATGTCTTCTGCTAGTGAGGGCTCTTCCATGGGTCCTTGCAATAAATTTCCTTTGAAATCTTTTCAGAATTTTGGAACTAACTGGCTTTTTAGGCCGTGACAGCTGAGTATAAGGAGAGTCTGTTCAAGTATCTCAGATTTTTTCCCAACAGCAGGGCTGAAGGGGGTTTTACTCTGGCATTGGTTCAGAATACCTGCAGTGGGTACAAGGACCAGTATTATGAAGTCCTTGATCTTGAAGAGTGACTGATGGAAAGAAACAGCACAGGAAAGGCCTTGGCTCTGGCCCTTAGATGGATGGGTAAGAAGAGGCCTTTGGCAGAGAAGGGAGAAAGGTGACTAATAATGTGAAACTGGGAGGAAACTCATTTCAGTTATGCAATCTGCTGGCTTGCTTTTTCTGAGGGAAGATACCTTTTGTTAGTTGTTCCACTGGCACTTGCTGCTCATGCTGTCTTCTGAATAGAAATCTAAACCAATTATTTCTCTGCTTGACTTAGGAAGCTTAATTTAGCTCCAGAGCAATGAAAATACAGCAGCATTTAATTTCTTTGTTCTCCATCTGCAGGATTTCTTTTAGATTTACGTTGTCTCTTCCCTTTATTATTGTTTCTTTTTCCTGGCTGTCCAGTAGTTTAACCAAGATGAAGAAACTTTTTTCTTCATGCACTTATTCCCCATATCTCACTTGTTCCATGGTTTTCTGTGTCCTTTTTGCCACATTTCCAAAACTTCCATGGAGAATTTTGCCGTGGTGGTTCAAGAAGTTGCTGTTGTCTGATCTAATCCTTCTCCACAGGTTTTCCCTCATGGCTGAGTCAGGGTTCTGTGCCTGCCCCTGCTGGGTTAGTGCTGGCTATCTCAGCTCAGACCCCAGCCCGACAGTGCTGTGACTGCCCTGGCCTTTGTCCTAGACTGGCTGGTGTAGGGATGTGTATTGATGCCAGCTGACCGTGGTACAGGGATGTAGCCTCTGGAAGAGTGTGCTGGAGAGGGTGACTGGAAGTGCTGGACAACAGCTGGGGAACTCTTCTGAGAACTCCTAGATTCCATATTAGCATGGTGGCTTTTCCAGTGATCTGCAATGAACAGCTCTGCTGTTGACCCTATCTGGATCTTGATCTCCTGTTTTATAGATTTTATAGGTAAAACAACATTGTTGTAAACTTGCTTCCAGGCACTGATTCTTATAATCCGTAAAACAGTTGTGAAACTGTGGCCTTGCTCTTCAGCAATTCTGCAGTCACCTATCTCTGAGACATTGTATTTCACCCTTGAATAAGATTCCAGACCAAAAAAAAGAGTTAGACTGCATACAGATTAACAAATGTGTTGCTAGTATCTCTGGCTACTGCAGCATGACTCACCCATCAGTGCTTGTCAGAGTCTGGCGTGACCTCATTGAAAGCTTCAGCATCTCTTATGTGAAGGCAGGTTGTAATCCAGTGTGGGAATCCTAAATAGGTGGGGAATGAAGTTCTGAGATTGTGATAATGCATACATCATAAACATCTCCCTGGAAATCAATTATGCCCTCACCAGGAATACTCTTACAGATTTCTGAGGATCTCTTGGTGCTAAGCCTGCCTTTCCCTGCTTTTATTAAAAAAACCACCTGTACTATTCAACACAGTAACAGAAATCAATGGTGGTGGCAAAATTTAAGAGTGAATGGGATGTCAGGGAGGAGCTGCTCTGTTATTTGCAAGGACAAGAAAGAGCTGATGGTTCCTTTTTATTTATCACAGCATCTACAGACTTTTCTTTATTTTTTTTTCCTATGTCAGTAATGGGGCTTCTGGTACACAGATATCTGCTGGTACTCAAACTGAAAGTGAAATCCCTGGCTGTTGGTGTGGTTGCTGTCCTTAGGACACGTGAATGTCTGCTCCTGTTTTGCTGTAGGTAATTTCTGTATGTGGCAGAGTTGTCTGTGCCAGCCTGGAAGCTTTGTCCATAAGCAGCAACAGTAACTGTCTCTTGGTTTCTCAAAGCTGCAGCTCCTCTCTGGTTCCACACACCTGCTTTGTCACAGAGTGTCAGTAACTTTGCAGAAGTCACTGCATCCTCTGCTGTGCTTGGGATCAACTCTGGCATCTGTCTGAATGTATGTACATCCCTACTGCAGACCTGCTTTTCCTATCCACACTCTTATCTGGTGAGTTTGTTCTCTTACCCTTTGCCTTAGGTAGGTGATAGTATGACTTTTGTATTTCTTAACAGTTTTTTATCTTGAGTCTGGGAACATGGATTGTTATTATTGTGGGAGAGGGGAAGAGGGCAAAAATCCTGAGTAGAAATATGTTACATTCTGGTCCTTCTTTAAGGAAGGTGTAGCAGGTCACAGAATCAATGCATGCATATAATTTGTAAGGAAAAAATAGGCAACCTTAGGCCTTTTTATCCATGATTCTTTAGCACAGAGATCAGACAGGTGCTATATCTCCTTAGCTGTTTGGTAAATCCATGGGGAAATAAGTTGATGGGTCTGACCAGTTTCTAGTACTAAGCACTGTGCATTGTGCACACAAAATAGATCTAGTTCTAAAAAATAATGTCTGATGTTCTTTGTGCAGAGACCAAGGCCTGGATGATGTTTGGAGACTGGGTATACCTTTACTGGATGAACTGATGGATGTACACCATGATGTTCTAGGGCATAAGAGATGGAAGCCTCATAAAAGTGTTGTCCATGCTGCATTCAGCTGTGGGGATGTTGTCTTAAATGATTGATTTTATATTTGAAGTCCTATTGCTTGATTTATATATTGATTTTTAGTATCTTGGCAGACCTTTCTCTTACACAGTAAAGCATACCTGGGGTTCTAGTAGAACTCTGCTCTTAGGTCAAGCTCAAACCTCATTGCTCCTCCCTGCCTTCAGCTGGAAATGGACAGACACCATTTGTGACTGAATATCCTGAGTCACCGATTCCCAGCTGGCATGTGCACTGCAGTTCCGTCTCTTCCTTTCCGACTGCACTCCCTAGAGGAGATTGGGAACAACTGCACTCGTCAGCTCCAGCGTGGTGTGTGCACTTGCCGGGATCCACACAATTGGTGGACAACCCCTGTCTACGTCTATGGGGTGAGCTGCATGTGATTTGTTACTGTATGCCTGGTGTTTCCACACCGGAAGATAGAACAGGTGTAGGAATATTAAAAAAAAAAATTCAGTTTCTTCGTATTTACTATAAAAATATTTGCATTGTGGAGATGGTGAGAGGATATCTCCATTAAATAATCAGTTGAGACAAGTGATGATACCAGTAATCTATTTCACAATAAGATTGTGTGAGAATGGATGAAAACTAAGGAGCTAGAGAGATGATGAAAGGTGAAGTCGTTACTCCCTACACTAGCAAAATTCTGCTGCCAGGAGCATGGGTCCACCATGCAGGAGCTGATAGATTATCTGTTGTGTCAGACACTTTTGTGCTGTGTTTATCCTGCTTGTGCAGTGTCCCAAAGAAAGGCTGCTTAAGCTCAACAGGGGAATTATGCAACATGTTGCTATGTTATTTCATCTGACCAAAACATTTTCACTGAAATGCTTGCTGCTAGTCTTGTGCATAGCTCTGGGGGAAGCTGAAACACAAAACACTTCATTGACCTTTTTGATCCAACAGGTCTTGACATATTGCTGCTGGACACATCTGTGTCTGATGTGAACTGTGACAGTTCCATTCTGTCCTCCTAAAATAACAGCATATTAAACAATACTATTCTGTCCATGCCATTTCCACCTATTGACTAAAAAGTTAAATTCTTATTAAGCTAGTTTTAATTTACATGTCATAAGCTATTAGTTAATGGTCAGCTGATTTTCCTGGCATGAAGACTGCAAAGTGTATAACACAGATTAGTGCTTGTGTGGGAGCAAATGAGTTAAACCTGCTCATTCTGCTGAAATACCCAGTGAAATACAGTGATGGCCTGCATATCAAATCTGTTTGCAACAGGTCACCAGTGTTTGCCTGGGACAGTTCATCCTGTTAGCAGGCACTGATCCGGCTATGCAGGAGATATGTGGCTTGTGCTGACTCATGAAAGCAGGTGCAAGTTGCATCAGAGAAGTAAGGAGTGGCTCACCTTAGAAGCAGGATGTAGGTTTTAGAGTAAGAACTGTTAACACACCACCTTTAGAAGAAAGTTGGGGGGGAAAAAGACAGGAGAGACACTTTGAAATTAACTTGGTAAATTGTTTTTCTTCTTGCTGCATCAGGGTCTTGTTCCAAATGAGGAAGGTGGAATTATTAACACCACTGAGGTGTCTTGGGAAAACATGAACTGTAGCTGCAAACAGCAGTAGTCCTAAGGCACGTTTTCTGGGGAGGGTTGGGTGACAGCTGTTCATAAACTTTCATATAGTTACTCTCTTGTTCCTTCTTTATAGATCTGACTCATCTCTCCCTGTCCTAAACACACCAGTTTGTTTGGTTTTCTTTTTCCCTCTCCTCTCATTTACCTCATATCCTTCAAGATTCCTTTTGTATCTCTGGGCTTAATTCTATTAAATCCAGTTCCTTTGACTTTTACTTTGCCTGTGCTTTGCACTTGCTGTAGAGCCCAACAAACTTGGCAGCCAATCCTTGGGCACTCCAGAGAAAACAACTGTCTAGACCAGGCACCTTCTGCCCGATGCCCTGGACGTACCCCAGAGCTCCCAGGCATTACTCTGCATTCAGAACATGTTGCTATGCAAATGATTCCTTTCTGTTCTTCCTCTTACCTACACAGTTATGTGCCCCCAACTTCTCCAGCAGGCACTAGTCTAATGTTTATTGATCTTTTACAGAGGTCTGATTCGAAGGAAGATTGATAAAATCTTGTCCGGTGTTTTTGTGAACTCATAATTGCACCTGCCTCCTCCTAGGGAAAGAGGCAGATGGGACTGAGGGAGCCCACAGAATAAATAGTACCTTCTGCAGAACTGGAGATAGTGCAAGCTGGAGGCCATCACTGCAAAGGTCTTGCAGAGCCTGTGGTATCCAGCAGAATTCAGGGAGGTGTGTTACCCTTTCCTAAAAGGAATGGAAGTCAAATCTTGGTCTAAAGACTCCTATGGCATGGGAAGGGCACAGCTTTAATGCAAAGTTGCAAGCTGTGCCTGTTCCCAGTTAAAGCCCCTGTTGCCCTAGGCAATCATTGAGCCTGTCAGCGTCCTGCAGCTTTCATACAGAGATGTGACCAAAATAGCTCCACAACTTTACAATGTGGCTAAAAATAGCTTGCAGGTCAGCTTTTTTCTCAAAGGTGGTAGTGACATCAGAGGGAGAGCACTCTTGCTCCTGTTCAGTGCAGGTAGAACAGGATAAACAAAGCGGGGACAGCAGCAGTTTAGCTGAAAAGCCTTGAGGAAAAAGAGGTGATAAGGGATGGGAAAGGACTGGGAGAGATGGGCTAAAGTGTCAAAAGCGTGGGTGGACCCACTGCTGCTGGCCAAGTTAGTGTGCTCATACCCAACTTCTCCCTGGGGTTTTGTTTCCATGATGCTTGAGAGTTATCAGTCTGTTCCTGTCTCCTTGTGGCCCATGTCAGGATGTGTCACTGGATGGGCTGGCCAGCCAATGCAGCATTTCTTGCTCCTCATTTCCAGACAGTGAACACAGCCCATGACATCACCTCTGGCCAGCGGCAGATCAGAGGCTAGGCCATGGCAATGTCAAGTGTGTTTTGCTGTGGCCATTCAACCAGAGAGCTGATCTTTTACAGTGCAATTTGCATGTGGAGAAATCTGGATGACCCTTAGTTCTAGGGGGATTTCAGTATTTGTTCTTGGGCCAAAAATAGGCTGTTTTTATGGGGTCAAACTGTCTGTTTTTGTAGAGCATTACATTTTACCAAAGGAGCAAAGCTGCACACCATGATCCTCAGAGTTTTAGTCTCTGTTGTGTATACTAAGTCTGGCCATGGAGATGATTGTCAGCCAAGTCTGTAAGTGCCTGATTTGGAACGTTATGGGAATCTAATGTAGGTTATGTGAGGTTTGCCATGCCTGCAGCTCCTGTGCTGCTGAGGTAAGTGTACTGCAGCAGGCTGTGCTAGTGAGAATTTCCTTTGTGCTGCAGGTTTCATGCCTGGTGCTTTCATAGTGCTGAAAGAAGGGAAGGAGACAACAAAAATGTGAAAAATCGAGGGCAGGTCATTACTGTCAGATGAGGACAGAGTCCTGTAGCCAGTCAGATGTGACAGAATGCACTTGCTGATGCTGCTACCAGGAAGCTTGAGAAATGTGACTGATAGCAGTGCGCATGTGCCTTTGGAGGAAGGAGGCTACGTGTGTGCTCTTGCAATGCTTTTCTCTGCCCAGCAACATCATTGCTTCTTTTCCTGGTGTTCTGCTTAAGCAGCTGTTCTGCATTTATGACCCCATCTATTCTTCATACAGGGCCATCTTCACACTGAGCCACCTTCACTGTCACTATCAGAAGGACTGATAAGACCTCAGGTTTGCTTTGAGTAAGCACTATAAATAGGGCAAAAGCACTATAGTTATTGTTCTCTTAAACTAGTGTAGGTCTTACAAGACCAGCCTCTGTCCCTACCTATTTAAAATGGCTCCTGTTGCCTCACAAGAGGGAGACTTGAGCCAAATACATCTCCATATTGACAAGTATAGAGAGAATTATGCGCATGATCAGCTTGCAAGTATTTCATTTGATGTGCAGCTGGAAGTCAGCTGCCAATAGAAAAGGGAGCTCTGCAACCCCACTTGTGTGCTTCTAGTGCATTTAGATGCTACAGGCCACATTAATTGCAGACTGCAGTTAGACCAGGTTATAGGCAAAGTCAACTCAATACCATCATCATGACCAGTTAGTACAGTCATTTCTGAGCACTGCAATTTCTCACCACAGCCTGCTCCTTCCCTTCAGTGAGAGCTGTTCCTTGGTCTGCCCTGCCCAGCTTGTAAATGTATCTCATCAGTCTCTGTTTCTTTGCAAATGAGCTGCGTAGGTAATGGGAGGAGGAGGAGGAGGAGGAGGCAGCAGCACTGCAACCTGCCCATCCCCAGCTGATCATCAAGGCTCAGTGCTCCTTAGGCTTTCTGAAGTTATTTTCCCCATGAATTGTGTGGGTATAAAACTTTGTTGATTCCTTAAATGCCCTGCCTTTTGCAACAGGTCATTTCCCAGGGGGGAAAACAGGCTGTTGATGTGGTAGGCACTCAGCTTGTCCTTTGGATAAGATCCAGAGGCGATTAGTTTGGGCGCAGCAGTGTGCTAACACAGGCAGAATGCACCCAGACTGGCTCCTGCCGAGATAGCCCCAATCTCTCCACTGTCCCCACCTCTGTCCACGGCCCCTGGCTCAGTGTGAGCACCGGTCCCTGTCCCTCTCCCTGCGTGTGCTGGCACGCCCACAGGGAAGCAGAATTCGCACCCCATGCTGCTTGCCCGTGTCCTGATCAGTACCAACCCTCCCAAAGCAAACAGTGATTTGCCTGTCTGCTCTGACTCAGCTGTGCTGAAGGCAGGAATCGGTAATAAATCCGGTTCAGTAAAGTCCATAGGTAAGGAACAGCCTTCTGTAGCAGATACTGAGGCATTTTAAAGGAACTTGACTCTGTCCCAGGAAGTGCACTGAAGTGAGCAATGCTGCATTGGGCAAGAAAGTCTACCCAGGAGCCATTAATCTCTCAACATCTCTAGCCCTGTGGTTGTATGCACTGGGGGTTGTCTTCCCCTGCCTGCAGTTACTAGCTAACAACTGGGAATTCAAAGGAATCTGGGCTATGTTTAGGAAGCAAGTACCTACTCTTTGCCTCCTCTCAGGAAGCAAGGTCCTTCATTACAGCCTGTCATGGCAAGGGGCTTGCAGATAAGGAGGAAGGGCAGGAAACATGCTGGGCTTTGCTTCTTTACAGCTCTAAATATTTTCCATAGTCTTAGCACTGTGAGTCAGCATTTCTAGAGCCTTGACTTGTTTACAGCAGCAATCAGTGAGATGGTATAAGGTAGGTGGGGTGTGGAGGTATGTTTGTGTCTAAAATGAGAAACCCTTTGCCCAGGCACAAGTGGAGAAGTTACCAACTGTATTTTCCATTTGTGACTAACAGGAAGCAAGGGACTGGATACCCTAAACAGTAACTGCAGTGGAGCCATTTCCAGGGTAAGGAGTTTCCTAGTGTGAGTAAGGGAATTGAACTTCACAAAGCTGTAAACATTGTGTTGTCATAGTTCACTTTTTATATATATATATATATGTACATATTAAAAAATAAAAAAAAATAAAAATAAAAAAAAAGACTGCAAATACTTAGGATTATCAGTATAGTGGGATAAAGGTAACACTTCCCATCTGAAGTGGTATGGATTCATTTTGCATTGGCCTGGCCAGACAGGCTGTGGGGCAAAAGACCCCCAGAAGTGTACAGGTAACATCAACCACTGAAGTTTTCATTCAGAGCCCATACCTACACTGGAATAAGGAACATCAGCCATGGGATATCTTTTGTCACCACATGCAGGCTTTTTCCCTATGCCTGACTGGTCAGCCTGGCTGGATCTCATGGTAAAGGGAGTTGACATCAAAACCAAGGTATTTTAGATCTGCGACCTCAGTTCTGCAAAGGTGTTTATTTTGAAAATTCTAGTTTCCATAGCGATGTAGTACTGTTCTCTCTCATCTTTCTCCCATTAACCCAGTCTTAGCAGCCATTAGATAAATTATCAGTGAGGCAAACCTTAGCATTTTTTAATCTTAAGTGATTTTATATGTGTTGGTTCCTTAGTGAATCAGAGGCATTTAGTTAAGAATTGACTCATATCCTTTCCTGGGGCTGACATGAGGTCTATTGCAGTGAAAAGATGATAATGAAGAGTGAATATTATTAATTGGACTTGAATGAATTAGTAGTGGGGGGGTCTTATGTCTAGAATTCTGGTTCAGTTATATGTCATTAGATTTTACTTGGGTTCCACTATAGCATCATTAGGACATCATATTTTCATTTCATACATGTATTAAGTAAGCCCTTTTGTAAGGGTTGCTGTGCAGTGCTGTTCCACTGCTTTTTTCCCCCCCAGAGGTGACTTTTGGAGACAGTTCCCCTTCCCATTGTTAACAGCCAGTGCTTGTGGCTCATTTCTTCATTCTTCTTTTCAATACCTACAAAAACATCCAATTAAGAAAAGAAGGCAATATCTTTTTTATTGGTGTGTTTTGTTTGTTTGTTGGTTGTTGTTTTATTTTGTTTCCTGGTGCATCTGGCCTTTCCTGGTCAAGGAACTACTAGTTTTGCCAGAATAGTTATGCAGCTTGGAATGTAAAAATCCCAGACTTAACCCTGCAGCAGTAATGGCATGCAAAAAACAAAGATGTGGAGATTATTTATTCTGATGGTGTAGCTTGCCTTTTAAGGAGATGATTTAGTGAGTTCTTTTGCCTATATGAACTGTATCTCCACCTGGGGAGCTCTGCCAGAATAGCTGTTCCATAAACCCTTTGCTGTGAACAACAGCCTTTGTCCTGGAATTCAGCCCTCATGAGTAGGTAAGCAGTGAGGTACAGAAACTGTGTGGGAGAACGAGAGTGGCACTGTGGACCAGATTCCAAGATAAGGAAGTAGGGCTAAATACAGGCAAGGGTTAGCCTTTGACTCCTGCAGTGTCCTCACTTGGTAACAAAAATACCTGAATTGTGTAAAATAGAACACAGATCCAGTAAGGTGAGGATGCAGGAACTCCTCTGTGGAATCTGGATGTTAGCAGGCATCTGCTGCTCAGTGCCCATTGCTTGCCCTGCCAGTCAGTCTGTTTTCCTCCCCAGCTAGAGCCATCAGCTGTCTTGTTTGTATTCAGTCCATGAGTTCTTCAGAGGAGATGGGTTTTCAAAAGTCAGTTCTTCACCCTGCTTCTATTTGAGCTCCCCAGGCCTTGGATATCTGGCAGAAATAGCCTCTTAAATCCCAAGAGGTATAAGCTCACTTGTGCTCCAAAGAATAGTAATTCTAACAAAATCTCTATTTTAGATGTCAAATATTTACTTTTAGCTGAATTATGCCCATCCAGTGAGAAAACTAATAATACTTTGCTCTTCACAATATAACTTATCAGTGAATCCTGATATATATTTTATGCAAAACATTAAAAGGTGGTTGCTTATCTTTTCATTTACCTTTTTTTTCCCCTTCATGTTCCTCCCTATGTTTTGAGATAAGGTGAACAAAAGTTCTCCAACTGCTATCTCTAAGCTATGCATTCTGCAATACCTTCACTCCCTCCAAGGTGAATGGTCCCAAGTCTTTTTAAATTTCCTTCAGACAAGGGCTCTTCCAAATCCCTAATCTTGTAGTCAACCATCATTGCCCTGTGTCACATAATGAAGTCACAGTAATAACTCAAACAATAACCCCTCCAGATCTGGTGTTCTGTCAGTGCTGGGCATTGTTAAGTTGGAGATCCTGACTGCAAACACAAGCAGAGGAGTCCCCATGTGCCAAATGCAGACATACCCAACCCACATTTAAAAACTAATATTTTTTTTAAAAATTTCATGTTTCAAAATAACTGCTTGGTATCCAAGTGAAATGAGAATTAAATGTGACTAGCAGCCTTGTGACTGTTGTGTTGTATAACAAGATAAAAAGTACTTGGGATTTGTGAATTGAGCTTTTTTTTTCATTTGTCTTCCAGAGGTCAAAGTCCACTGCAAGCAGTGACTGATACAATTCCCTGTGTAAGTCAGGCTGGACTGCCTGTGCCTCAGGTTCTAACAGCAGGGGAGGTTGTGCAAGAGCACCTTGGTAGGTGTTTGTCTGGATTTCTCTGTGGTCCCTGTGATGATCCTAGGAAGCAGGAGGAGATCCAGAATTGTCTGAAAGCCAGGATTCTTTGAAGTCCCAGAGAAGTAATGATGAGAGTTGTGGCTGAGGCCAACCTGCTAGCCTGCTTCCCATTCTGCTTCTTGTAGGTGTCCAAGAAGCTGCCTCCAGTTTGTACAATTGCACTCTAGTAAACAATTTTGCATGCAGATATGGGCAGCAGATGTTATTCATGCCTGTGTGAACACTTCAGTGTTTTTCCAACAGGGATGATCCTCAGATTGAGTCCTGTTAAACAATGGATGTACCCACCAGAAGTGCCACTGGTCACAGCCATTCTGTCACAGTTTGCACAAAACGCTTTGAAGGATGGTCACGCCATCCTTCTTTGGCCACTTGAGGGGATTGACTCACAAATATGAGCAAAATAAAATTAGATGGCTTAAGTGGCTGCAACCCCAGCTGTGTCCCCACTGCCCAATTCCCAGAAGCTCATCCCTGCAGCCAGCCTGGCTGTGGAAGGCAACTCCTGAGCTGCTGTAGTGACAGCCCATTCTTCAGAGTGTTAATGTTTGTCTGGCTCCTCTGTGAAACAGTTTAGGAAGCTTAACCAGAATAAAAATGTGCACTTTTCCATCTGAAGAATTATTTTTTAGTTTAATTTCTCAAATGGGCTCTGAGAAGCAGAAGTGTTGCTGTGAGGGCAGGGCAGAGAGAGATGACCTTCCCTTTTGGGAGCAGCCATTACGTCAGTTTTGCTGCCTCACAAAACTATACCCTGTGGTTATTTTTGGTGCTGGACTGCCTTAATTTTCTGGAGAGTGAATGAAGGATTAGCATAGTGTGCTTTTGACATTTGGAAACTAAGCTCTCAGAAGAAAAAATCATAATTTAGTATGTGCTGAGGTGGAAATGCTTAAATTGCTAGGGATGGAAAGATGGGCAAAACATGAATTTTTTACAATTTTTATGATTCAGCTAGGGAGTTAAATACTTTTAAATTTTTTTTTTTGGTTTTGCTGCTTTTTAAGACCTCTAACCCAATGCCTACTATGCAGCTGCCTCTAGAGAGAGAAGTCTTTAAAGAGACCAGCTTTGTACCTATAAATAATGTACACAGCAGAGTACAAAAATGGAGTCAAGGAGAAGCTCCTCCTTACCTGAATGTAACTGCAGCAGCTGCATGGGAATAGCTGTGGTCAGGCTGTGAGCAGCACTCATACCCTGTCATCCATCTTGACTAAACTGCTTCTGAGAACTAATTCTGAGATCCCAACACCTGAATATCAACTGGTAAATCCCAATTGCCTTGTACTGAAACACATTAGATGCCAGCAGCCAAACGTGGCAAGGTTTTGAACAGTGTGGTTATAATCCCACCTGGAACTAAAGGTCTGCTGGAGTGCTTTGTTAAGTGTTGGAATATGGAGAATTTCTCAAGTCTGAACCTCTGCTATAAATGAAAACACTGTGGCAAAAAAATGTAAATAAATGCCACACATTTTGTGTAAGAGCCCTTCCCAATATCTATAAATATGGTAATTTTGATGTTTCCTGGTTTTGAGTTTTAAACAGGAGACAGAAACATGAAATATCACAATGCAAGCATTTTATTTTTTTCATGGATTAATTTTATAATTTCACTTTTATTTTACCTGAAAACAATTAATGGAAACTAAATGTAATGTTTTATAGAGGATTGCCTTTGAAAGGAAATAATTTGTTCTTGAAAAAATAACTTCAATAGCTTCTCAGTTTAACTGCATTTTAATATGAACACAAAACTCATCCCAGGTCAGACTCTCCAGGAAAACTTTCTCATTATTCCTGTAGCAGTTGATTCATTCCATGCTGCCTTAATTTTGCAGCTTTAAAGGGCAGGTTCTCTGCAAAGCCATCCACTTCAAAGCTTCATAAAACAGAGCTTTGAATAAATTACTGAGTCAGAAATTATATTGGCTGTGCCCAGCTTTGTGCCTGGATGTGGGAATACTTGGCACTGGGTGTGGAATTCCAAGGAAAATTGCCTCTTTGCTGGCTTGCCAAAGAGCAGTAAGAAGGAAAACTGCTGCAGATGAGCAGACACGGAAATCTCCAGCTTCCCTTTCCAGAGAACACATCCTGAAGAACTGTTGAATATTAATACATATTATAACTGGTGCAACACTGGGCAAACCCTGGCACTGACAGAAACTCCTGCTTCTGGAGGGGATGTGTCCCAGCGTGGCCACGGGGCAGCATCCCTGCTGGAACTACTCTTACCTTTAAAATGCATCCCTGAGGATGCACCGTGGAATCCGTGGCAGTGGGGAAGGCCCACTGTGTGTGGACACACCATGTTGGGGTGTGGGATGCCCGTGCTTCATGAAGCCCAGGCTGTGTTATTTTGGATTTTTTTTTCTCTCTTTTGCAAGCTTTAGATAATATAATACTAATTATAGCAGTGACATAGTTGATTTGTCTTTCACAAAGAGACAGCCCACCTTCCTCTGTATTCAGACTTCAGCTGTGTGTATGTGGAGACGATTTGTCTATAATTGTTTGCTTTCTTCAGAGTCTTTTGAAGTTTAAATCTTCAAGCCAGCTCCCTATATTAAAAATAAATTCTTCCAAGCCACCAATAAAATGTCAGCTGTGATTAAAGCCCGACTCCTCATTTTAAGACTTGTCTCCTAAGCACTGTGAGGTCACTCAATGAGTCAGCGTTTGAAAGGACCAGGACCGTTATTGTTTGGGTAAAGCCCAAAGTTCATCATTGCTTTCTTAAATGGTTTCATCACGTTCTAAATGGCTTTGCATTGTGCTGAAAGAAATGTAAACTGCAGGAATGATTTGGCAGAGAACTTGTGATATTTCAGGCACCTCAAATCTTGAAAAAACCCTCTGTATTAGTGTTGAAGTTGGTATTTCTGGTAAGGAAAAGCTTTACCTCCTGTGTAGTAAAGAGGAGGGTGAAGTGGGAAGCTCTGTCTGAGGCATAAACTTTCAACTGTGTTCTCTTAAAATAAAGCTTGGGAACTGTAACTCCAGACAAGGGCTCTTATACAGTGCCAAAGTCTGAAAGGTCTTCTCTAGACACATGAACTTCATTAATTTTGTTCATTAAAATAGTGAAAAAATAGAACAGAGCATTAAGCTGCAAGGAAGAGCCTTGAGAAGCAAGTCCATACTATTTTCAGGACTGTCTGTGGAGCCCGTTTATATTACACACATTAATTTTAACAGTCTTTAATTACATGAACACATTTTATTTTGTCACTTTTCCTCCCTGTTTGCTGCAGTGCCCACTATTGGGACTATTTGGAGGCAATTAATCACACCAGAGCAGCAAATAACTTGGAGCAGGACTTTGCCTCTCTCTCCAGCTTGTGTCAGTCGTGGGTCTCCCCATTCTCTCTGCCCTTTTCCTATATTCCTAATTAACTCCTGCCTCAGTTCCTCACTGATCCATACAGCCCAAAACCCCTTGTCTCAGTGCTGTCTGGAGAATCGGGCCTTGGTTTTGAGGAGGAATCCCGAAACAGCAGTTGAATGTCTTGCCCTCCTGCAGTGGAGGCTGGCTGGAGCAGAGGCAGGAGTTCAGGCCATTTAGCTGCACCACCCCCGGTGGACCATGCTCAAGTGGGGACAATCAGAGATTGAAATGGTATGAAATCTGTTGCAGATTCTGTCAAGTTTCAAAAATTCTCCTCCTTATACTCTCAGGCTTTCCCATCAACCTTTGATTTTTGTTAAGCATCAGTTAAATCTCCGGTGCTTCTCTCGGAGCTGACAGGTGCATTTGTTGAGTCCCCCTTTCGCGGGCCGGCTGGGTGCTGAGCCCGCCCGCCGGCGGGTCCGTGCGGGGAGCGGCGGGTGGAGCCCTGGAGCCGGGTGAGCTCCGGCTGCCGCGGGAGCGCTGCAGCTCGGCCCGGCAGCGATTCGGGGCGCTGCTGCTGCTGCTGGGAGCCCGGCCGCTCACCGCGCTCACATCCCTGCCCGCATCCCCTCCGCTGGGGCTGTTCCAACCCTCTCCGCCTGCCCCGGGGCGCGGTTCACCCGCTTCATGACGGCAAAACGCGGCTTTGCGGCATCCCGGGCCGCCCTCCTCCCGGTGACCCTGCGGTGAAACCCCCCCGGGGCCGCACGCCGCTCCCCGCCGGTTATGGAACGCTCCAACGGCGAGGGCCGGGGACGGAGGCGGCTCCGCCGCGGCCGCTCGTTCCGGCTCTGCCGCGCTAGCACGAGGAGGGGGCGAAGCGCGCCCGTCCCCGGCAGCCTCACCTGCCGCTGGCCCGGGGAGGGGGCGGCCGGGCGGGTCCGCGCTGGCCGGGCCGGCTCTCCCCCGGCCGCGGTGCGGCGNNTACTCCATTGCAGGGCGGGCGCTGCCAGTCCGCCGCCTCCCCCGCGCCAGCCGCGTCCCCGCGCCGGAGCCGCACGGCCCAGCAGCGAGCGCCCAGCCCGGCCCGGCCCCGCCAGCCGCCCCCCATGGAGGAGCAGCCCCACCACCACCATCACCACCACCACTATTACTACTACGGGCACCACCACCACCACCCGCAGAGCGCCTACCTGCCGCCGCCCGACGGCCGAGCCCAGCCTAAGCCGCCGCTCCGCCACGAGCACAAGCACGGCGGCCCGCAGCACACGGAGGCGCCGAAGCGGAGACCAGGTTGGAGCGGGCAGCGGGACGGGGCCCGTGACCTTCGCGGGGCGGCGGCGGGGCCCCCCTCTCTTCCTCCTCCTCCTCCGCCGCCGCCGCCTCCCCCGGCCCGGCTTGGCCGGGCGGCAGCGCCGCAGAGGCGGTGGCCGCTTAGCTGCGCGGGGGGAGCCGATCCCGGGCAGGGCCGGAGCCCTCGCCGCGTTCCTCGGGGGCTCCCCGGCTCCAGCAATCCCTCTGGGGGGAATTTGTGCCGGGTCAAGGCCAGTGCGGGGCCGCCAGTCGGCCGGAGTGCCGCGTACATTTTTTTTTTTTTTCTCTTTTCCCTTGAATTTTCCTTTTACATAACGAGGCGGGAGGTGGGAGGGGGCCTGGTAGCAGCAGAGCGGGGTCGGCAGTGCCCCGTGTGCAGCCTGGGCAGGGAGGGGGGGACCTGATCGGGCACACGCTAAAATAAGTTACCGAGCAAAAATAAGTTGAGAAGTCATTTCACTGTTTGCAGCGAGCCCAGGGTTTCAATATGTGCCTAGGCTGGCACCCCTCCCTTCCCAGCTCTGAAACGGTTTGTGAGCTTGCCAGAGCCTCTTCACCTGTTCTTACCGTTCTGGGCTTTTTCCTCTACCCTAAATTTTGGTTCCTGCACCTCCTTGTCCAGGCCAAGGCCAGCTGTGCCAAATGTTGATTTGGAGAAAACTCAGGCAGCTGAGCTGTGAATGCTTGAGAATTGGAACTAGAAACTGCTGACACACTGACTTACTGAAATGGATTTTGTTCTTCATTTTATTCTTTCACTCCTCATCTGCAATGGTCTTATGACCACTCTTATTGTTTTGTTTCATTAACAAGTGGTGTTAGAAGTCTTGAGTCATAAAGGTCAGCTGTAACACTGCTCTTGAGAGGGCTTCCTCTTCATGCTATTCCGAAATACTTAATTTTAGAGGATCCCACCGTTCTAGTTCTCTCTGGGGTGAAGTATTTATGGTTAATTTTCTTAACAACATATTTGAAAGTTATAGTGGAAGTTGTGGTGGTTACAGATCCTTGCATGTAGTAAAATCCTGTTTGATCCCCCTCGGCAAACTCAGTTGTGGAATTTCTGTAAAGATTCCTACAAGGATTCTTGTGTTCCCGACTTGCACAGAACTTGAGCTGTTACATCTGCCAGACATCTGAGGCTCCAGGATGTGAGGGTAACAATGATTTTTAGTTACAGCAGTTAATTTCAACAACATCAGCAACAACAAAAACATTCTTCTTCCATGCTGGAGTTTCGCCCGCTCCAGTCGTTGAGGGACTCCCTCTCAGTGCTGACTCCGTGCCACCGTGGCTGCAGATGGAGCCTGAGGTGGGTCAGTGGCCGTGGGGGATGTGAGGCTTTCCAGCAAGGAGGACGGATGAGTCAGAGGAGCGGCGGGTGCAGGAGGGATCCCTCTGCAGCTGGAGTGTGTTTGTTGAGCAGGGCACAGTGTGCTCTCCCCTGCACTGGGGCTCCAGGGGTTCTCCTGGGGCTTTACCAGGGTCCTCGAAAGCAGCAGGCCTCTGGCCAGAGGTGTTTAGAAAGGAAAAAGCAAAGAGGAAGTTGGGGTGGTTCAGTGAGGACTGTCCTGGGCTTCCAGCTCTGCTTGAATTGCGCTCCCAGAACCGTAAGGCCTGGAAGTGAACTTCAGAAGGAAAGAGGAAAGCCCAGTTTACAGCACAATCTTACGGTTTTATGAATTGGAGCCCTCACAAAGTACTTTATTTCTTGGGTCTCAGCTCTCCTGGGGACTCTGAAATACAAGTTTTCCAGTGGTCAGGAGACCCATTGCTGGTGGCAGCAGAAGGGCGCTTGCAGAGATGCATTTCTTAGTTCTGTCACCTTTCCACTGCTAAAGAGCACGTGTAGGGAGGTGCTGGTTGCTATCCTGAAATGCACTGAGGAGATGTGGCCACATTTTCTTCCCTCCATCTTCCAGCTGGACTTGCACATGTCCTTTTGGAAATACTGTGCTTTTTCTTTTTTTTTTTCCCCCACCCCTTAACTGAGATGGCATTTGGGAGGGTGGGAAGGAGGACTGCTGGTGTTGCAGGCCCAGGAGCTGATGGAGATGGTAGGAGTTGTCCCTTGTTCACAGCGTGTATCCTGAACCTCCACAGATCTTGTCACAAAGGCAGTGGATCCCGCTGTCTTGAAGCATCCTGGGAATTAATTTTTTCCTCTCTGTGACCTGGAAATAGTAGCTGATGAAATAGCTTTCCAGCTTGCCAGTGATCTTCAGTACAGTATATTTTCCTGGCATAGTATCTGTATTTTCTTTTACTTTGTTATGTTATCTGTCTGTCACTCAGTTATGCGAGAGTCAGTCATGACTGGTCCTTCCTGCTTAACCCTTCTTGCTGTGGGTTCCAGCAAATAAATTTATGCAGCTTTACCTCAGAGACTAGATATTTTCCTATTTTAAAACGTCTGCATGAGGAAACTGGATATGTTTGGGGCTGACTACAGCTTTCTGCAATGACAAGTCTAACATTTCACATTCTAATTCTTGCCTTTTGCTGTTTTTGGCTTCCCTCTAGGCTATGGAGAGCTAAATGGTAACGCAGGAGAACGAGAAGTGTCACTAAAGGGCCTGTGCTCTGATGAAGCCACCGCCCCAGGATCCAGGGTACCCAATGGCAGCCAGCAGCTCGTAGATTCTAATGTCACCCCAAAGCAGACTGTGAAGGCCAGTGCTTTGGGGAAAGCTGGAATCAAAACCAAGAACTTCATTCAGAAAAATAGCATGGACAAAAAGAATGAGAAGTCCTACGAAAACAAACACAGAGAAAACCAGTCCTCAGACAAGCCAGAGGGAGTGTCTATTCCAAACGGAGTGGTGACCAATAATTCCAGCTACATCACAAATGGCTACGTAGGCAAAGGGGCCGACAACGATGGTAGTGGCTCCGAGAGTGGATATACTACACCTAAAAAACGGAAAGGCAGGCGCAACAGTGCCAAGGGCTGTGAGAACTTGAATCTAGTACAGGACAAAATAATGCAGCAGGAGGTCAGCGCACCAACCCTGAAACAGGAACTTGAGAGTTTCAAGCCTGATTATAGTGAACAAAAGGGGAACCGAATTGAAAATACTAAGCCTGTTTGGAAATATGAGGCTGGGGCTGGTGGAGCAGGCCGGGGAAAGCCTGG